CCGTTAAATAAGAGGAGTCTGTACACCTTACTCATAGTTTTGCGAAGGGGGCGAAATGGAAAATCCGTTAAAACCCGAAAAAAAAAATCGTATACCTAATCCAGAGTGGCTTGTAAAATAGCTCCATGTTATAGTAAAGTAATGTCTTCTCATAAGGATCTAGGCATTAAGTCAACAGGGAGTTCCAAAGCCCTCAGTTGTCGGCGCAAGGAAAGAGGCGTCCAGACCTCCTTCGTGTCGGGATTTGCATTGGACTCTAATCCACCGAGCGCCCCGCAAGCCCGGTGGAAGCACAAAGTGCACCTACAAAGATCTCCTCTGGTATCGCGCAGGCCTGGAGGAATCGAGTGTTGCGTCTGCGAAAACCTTCTCGCCGTGTCATCTCAGACAGTCGAAGGGATGGGATATGCGTCTCGGGGATTTGAGCTTATGGCCTCTTACGGTCTACTTCGAAGTGTTCATGAAAAGGCTTCGGTCTTCTCTAGTCAGGCAGAAGATTATCCTCTGGAGCCAGGCTAGTGTCATCAAGATTATCGGTGAAGGAGCCGGTCCAAGCTATCCGGAGATGGTCAGAAGGATATTCCCCTATAAGGAATCCCTTCTTTTACGTCCGTCTCCCGGACGAGGAGAAGTTTATCAGGATCCGCCTGACGATCCTTCGAGATTATAAGGGGGTCCCTGAATTGGACATACCGGTTGCTTACCGGGTCGGCCTTTCGAAGCTACGTTTTCACATGGTCGATCAGTGGGACGAGATGCGGATCCCCGGGATCCCCCCTGTCGGACTTGTGGATTATCTGAAAGCTCTCGCATTTTTCCGATCAGGGGGTGGTATCTCGCCACTAATAGAGGTGTTTCGCGGCAATCCTTCGGTTCCTTCGATAAAAATGGTTGGGGGGAGGGAAGGAGAATGGCGGCGTGGACGTCCACTCCTATCACCGTCTCTGTAGAAACTTCCGATTCCCCGATGGATGTTGCAGCTCTTTTGGAGTTACAAATTCAGCTTATAGTACTTAATGAGAGGTATATAGTATTTGGCGGAAGCCGGTCCCTCTGGTCTAGATAAAGGAAGATCCTCTGCGAGGTCGGACGTCAATGTTATGGACACTCGGTGGTGGGGGTTGCTCGGTAGGAGTCACTCCATCTTGTAGGAGAATTAAACGGGACAGGAACCGACCGCGTCTGGAGGGCTCTGGTCTGCCTTGTGAGGCCTTCGTGAAAGATAACTTGATTGACCGGATCCTCGGTAGGTCCTTGTCGAGTTTTCGGTATCGGCGTCTGGACTCAAACTTCAGCGAGGAGATTTGACAACAGATGTATATACCCTCCATCTTTTTCACGCCGGGGCAGCGGTGTGAGGTGGATGATACCTTGACCAGGTTAGCGAGAATCTCGATGTTGAAGGCCACTGAGGCTGTCAAGACCTGAGTTCAAGGAAGCGGAATATTGCCACTTGATGAGCATGAAAGATGAGCGGCCGCCAGAAGAGCGGCGTTCATCTCGCCTGTGAGGGCATTCTACTTATCCGGGCTACGGCCTTCAAGGGTGACCGTTATCCGCAATGAGCAGGTCGAAGAGTTCCGAAGGGAAAACGCTATGCTCAGGGGTGAGGTGGAGTCACTAACGCCGTGTGGACATTTTTCAGTGGACCAATGACTACCACCGGACCTGGAAAACGGTCTCCCCTTGATCGATCTCTCTTTAGAAATTCAGAGGCCCACTCTTCTCTGGTGGGGAGAATGCCCTTGGACCGTCTGGACCCAAGGACGGGAAAAAAAGGTGCGAGAGCCCCATTGGGCTCACCTGCTTGTCGAGCAAAAAGAATCCTTGGAAGTCGAAGATATCCGAAGAGTCTGAACGGGCGAGACCTGTCTCGCCCATTCTCTTGTCTGGGAATCCGGCGATTCTTACCGGTATCGCCAAGGTGATCTCAACGATTGGCGAGTTGAGAGATCGCCTGGACAGATTGGGGGATTTTACTCTGTCCGAGGAGATTCCTCCTCCAACTCTCCAACTCTCCTAAGAGCCGGAGTTTCACTCGGACGGTAGGACGTCGTAAGGCGGCCTTTGTCCCTCCCAAGGCCAAAGATAGTCCTGCCTCCTATGCGGCGGTTGTCGCTGGGTGCAGGCGTAGTAGCCGCCTTACGAAGGCAGTCTCTGCCGATGGTGGTCGGCGACCCGCTGCGACAGGTCGCTCCCCGGCAGGGGATTGAAACAAGAAAGTCGTTTGGCAAGTCCGCTAAGCGACGGCTGAGGAGGAAGGTCAGGAGATTGAAGATGGCTAATTGCTCCCTCTCTTCTTTCTCCTCCCGGGACTAGGAGATCCCTTTGTCGGGGGTTGTCGGGGTGCCGTTAGGCTCCCTTACGTGGAGAGCGGCCACTGATCTTGGGGTGGGTCGCGCTGCGGCGATGGTGACACCCTCGCAAAGAGACGGCTTGTCTCGAGATCCTCTGCTATTACTATTAATTGGAATTCGGAGGATTACCCGTCTTTTGCCGACCTTATACGTCAGGCGATAACATCATGCGGGGTTGGCGAGATGCGGCCGAGGAGGGGAGTAACCGAGGCCTTCATGTTGAAGGTCTCTGACAAGGATAAGAGTTCCACAGCAGATGCGCTTGCATCCCACATGCGGGACCACTTTATGGACATTTTGCGAGGGCGTGTGAGTTGGCCCGTGTGAAGCGTAGAGCTAAGCGGGTTTGATGACTCCTTCATTTCTGAAGAGGTCCGCGGTACCATCGCGGAAGTCGGCTAGTACACACTGACGTTCGCCTGGGTACTGCTCGGTAAACGCGGCGCGGCCTTGGGTTTATATGGGCCCATCAATGTCCGAGTGGCTCAAATGGGAAAGTTAGCCCTTGGCTAGTTTGCGGCCCGGATAGTGATTCTCAAGGGAAAACCTGCCCGGTACTTCAGATATCTGGTTAAGAGCTGTCTTCTGTGAACAGAACCCGCTGCTACTTCAACTGTAATGAGTCGGCGGGCGTCCCATTGTCCCTCCTGTGAGAGGGAGCGTCCCGTCGGGGGACTGTACTGTGCGAATGTCAGGCCTCCCGTGAGACCTGTGCACATGAAGAAAGATGCCCAAGAGGTCGCGGCCTCTTTGGTGGATAATTTGGCGCGAACTGTAAAGATGTCGCCGGTTTACGAGGAGGGTGCACGCACGCACGCACGCACGCTCGCACGCACGCACGCACGACTTAATTCTTCCGAGATCGTTGCGTTTTCTCAAAGATCATACAGGTCCGATCCCTGATCAAAAGGATTAAGTTCCTTGGCCTAAAAGGAGGACCAATGGATGCATTCTCTCAGACTGGATAATAGCGTCTTATATCGACGTTGACCCACATCCATTTAAGTGTTTCTTTGCACTTCAGAGCAATAAGAAAACCATGAGAGCGGTGTCAGTCCTTCCTGAACCCCTTCCAAATTCCTTTTTTTCCGTTTAAATAAAAGAACCCCAGGTCTTGGACGTAACAGTATCATGGTTGACGCAATACTTGTACAGGATAGTATTATATTAATTCTTGAGAATGACTTGAAGTAAGTTGAAATGCGTACAGACATTATACGGACATTATACATCATTTTGTTAGATTAAAAATGGACTTTTAAACATATCCATTGTTATACTTGCGCACCAAGTATTGCGCTGACTCCTACTTCTCCTTACTTCTCTTATCTTTAATTCGTCAAATAAAATTACATACAAGGTGCGTCCCAAAATTTTCCCAACTTTTGAAATAAAACAACAAAATTTACTTTTTTTTTCAAATTCAAATTGTTTATTCAAAGTAGTCCCCGTCGGACTCAATACAACGTTTGGCACGATCTAAAAGCATTTCAAATGAGTGTTTTATGTCGTTCAAAGGCACGTCCTTCAGAATAGTGGTACAAGCCCTTTGGATGTCTTCTACGTCCACATACCGCTTTCCTTTCATGGACAAATGCATTTTGCCGAATAGGTAGAAGTCACAAGGTGCCATATCAGGCGAATACGGGGAATGGTTGATTGTTAAAATGTGATTTTTAGTCAAAAAATCAGTGACAAGTGTCGAACGGTGAGATGGCGCATTATCGTGTAACAAGCGCCAACTTCCTCCTTCGCGATATTCTGGCCGAATACGACGAATGCGGTGCACCAAACGCTTCAAAACGCTTACATAGAATACAGCATTAACTGTTTGGCCTGCTGGAACGAATTCTTTGTGCACAATACCCTTGGAATCATAAAAACAAATGAGCATTGTCTTCACTTTTGACTTCTCTAAACGCGATTTTTTGGGTTTTGGGTCGTTTCGCGCCTTCCATTCCGCGCTTTGACGCTTGGTTTCTGGATCGTATTGAAAACACCACGTCTCGTCACCAGTAACAATGCTATAAAGGAAGTTTTGGTCCTTTTTTGCTTCCTTAATAATGTCCTTTGAATGTTGAATTCGATGCATTTTTTGGTCGTCAGTCAACTTGTGTGGAACAAATCGTGCACAGACTTTTTGTAGGTATATTAAACGTTTAAAAGATATTTACGAGATACCTAAATGTAGTAGATTCAACGTTTTTTCTACATTTTTTCAACATTTATCAGTTTTTTATATAGTTTTTTTATATAGTTGCGATAATATTGTTTTTATGAAATACGATTTTAATCAGTTGAAGAATAACATTAAAAAAATCGATTTACATTTAATATATAATGTCTATCAGCCGGACATCATAACTGGAAATATGTACAGAATTAGTATACGTTTAATTTGTATTTAGACATCTCGTACCGGAGGAATAACCGAAGGAGTAAGACCTCCGATACATTTGAAACATATACCATATTGAAATATATACCATAATATATACCATACCATACCATCTTATCTTTATTAAGAAGTACCTGTACTTGGCGCCTTTTTTACCTTCTTCCAAAAAGATAAAAAATTTTGCAACAATAAATCATTGCCATTATAATTGAGATTTTATTTTAATTATTACATTTTCTACTGACCTGTGACCTTTTAACTGCAACATACTGCGAGCTGTAGCACCTAAAAGAAACTTCTTTTCCAATTCCTCGTCACCATTTTCTATTCTGAATGGAATATTCATTTTACTACGTACATCTGACTTTACAGGACACACATAAAATCCTTCTGATCCATCAATCACATTATATATTTTGTTACTCTTGTTTCTGGCAGAATTTTGCATACCTTCGACTCCTCCATTCTGTTTGATCCATTCAAATACTAAACCCATCACATAAATTCTAAAATAGTTACCGATATACGAATATTAATGATTGTAAAAGCTTCCATTAAGAAACAAGAATATGTATATAAAAACATTAAATGTTTTGTATCTAGAGAATCAGAATTTGTACTAGAGAAAATTAAAATATATTAAAAAATATATTAAAAATATATTAAAATATATTACAAATTACGATATAAAATCATAAATATAACAAATATAATGATGATAATTGGCTCTTTGAACTATGTTAAAAAATAATCAGGATTGGCAGTAACGCGTCACTTGTAACGCCGTTACTTTGTTGATCGTTACTTTATTATAATAACGATTTGATAATGACATTGTGAATTTTTTATGACGGTAATAGTAACATCAGAGTTGGAAAAATTAATTGTGCGAGAGCGAATCAAAGAGAGAGCGATGACGTGAAATTTTAGAGTGATGCGGCGTTTGTCTAACTGTCTTTCTCGCTATTTCAAATCCGGCTCGAAGGACCAGAAAATGTGCGAGAGCGCACCGCGCGGAAAGGTTCGAGTGAGAAAACGGCACAAGGTTGAAATGATACGCGACAGTAAAGAGAACTCCGTTTCTTTGTAATTTAACAAAAGAATTTTCTTTAATATGATCAGTTACAGAGTCAAAAAATATAATTAATTAAATATTAGATTAACAGAATATTGAATGCGGTCACCTTTACCAAATGATATTTTGGTATTGCGGTAATGGAAAATCTCGGCGATTTTCTCGGCACTTCTCGAAAGATTCGTTTTATCGCGATTTCACTAAGCGGTTAGCACGGCGATTTTACGAAGTGAGATTATGACTTTAAGAACTCTAAACGGTGTAAACGGTGTAAACGATGTAAACTATCTAAGCAATCTGCCCTAAGGGACGGCGAGATCGAATCATTTATTACTTTCGGTCTGGGCTTTCTTCTTGGAAGAAATCCAATAAAAATTTGCCACAATCGTAATTATTACGTGGCATTAGGTGTACAAACTTGATTGGCGCTTTGGATTCTTTTCTAACGACGTTCAACGTAACAGTCATGCGCGACAGAAAATCCGTGCGTGGGATTGGTGACAGCGCGTGATGTATTCGTCGGAGCGCGGCGCTCGCGTGCGCGAATTGAATCGTTCTAGAACTTTCGATTGTCCGTTGCCGGTAACGACAACTTGTTTGCGTGTAACGAATTGTTTTTAAAAAGAACAAAGAACGACGAATTCGATGATTTTAACGAGGATTAAGATCATGCTCGAGATGAAATCACGAGCTCAATTTATGCATGCGTTCAATGACAATTAATGTCGGTCGACTGAAAGAATTCTTGCTTTTCTTTCGAATTACCGATCTCAAACACAATCGTTACTTACGTATGGGTTGAAAAAGTCATTTGTTATTGAAAAAAAAAAATTCCTTTTTCCATTCATTTATAACGCGTTAGTTTTTTACTTGCGTTATTTGTGACGAGTAATGTTACGCGTTACTCGTTACTTATTACTTTTTTTAATAAATAACGCGTAATGATGACAAATTATTTTTCAAAGTGAGTTTCTAACTTTAACTTAACCTTAACGTTTAGTTAGTTTGTGTTAAGGTTTAAACACAACAGGCATAGGCAATAGGCACAGGCAACAGGGAATAACAAGCCGTCCAATCAGAGCTCTGATGTGTAAATTCGATATTATATCCCAGAGTTCTGATTGGATGACTCGTTATTCCCTTTTGCCTGTGCCTATTACCTACGCCTATTGTGTTTAAGCCTTTACCGTCATAAAAAATTACAACATCGTCATCAAATTGTTTACTATACAAAGTAACGACAAAGTAACTGAAAAGTAACGCCTGAAAATAATAAATATTAAAGGGGTATATAGACCAAAACGCAGGAGATAGTAGTACATCATAGATGCGATCAGTGATGCGTGGAAATTATTCTCACACAAGATGTTTGTGCGCATGCGTATTGCCGATACGATGTGAAAGCAGCCAATACGAAACTGTAACGGCAGCTTACGCACGAACATTCCCGTGTAAGAATAATTCCCACAACAGCGCATCATTGGATGCGATACCTATTTATCAATATTTAAAATATACGTATGTAGACGTTTCGACGCTATCCAATGTTATCCAATCATCATCATCAGTGCAATAGAATTGCCTAGATATTAAACGATAATATTCGAAAAAGTTAAATTAATGTTCTTTATGGATCTTTGAAAAATTAACCATTATATATACTTAAATTTTTCAACATGATTGCGTCAAATCTTCTTCTATAAAAACCAAGTTGGCTGAATGTATGTACATAATTTTCATTTTCTTGTATGTATCAAGTTGTAATGTGACCCTCATATTAAATATTACGTTATCTTTTAATCCTGATTGTTTTAATTATGATTGTTATGCAGAAATCACAAATTCTGTACAGAAAATAAAAATAAGAATTTGGTTAACATCAATATTAAATAATTGCTGTCCACAACATTTTATTTTTATCACTGTTACGTCCGTATAAATTTCTTTCTTTCCCCCCCTCTCTCATTTTGCGTTATATTTGCTTTTGTTAATTAGTTTCACATCGCCTATATAAAATATTCTAGTTCAAACATTTACGTGAATATTTCAAGCGAAAACTTATTCGGATAGTAGTACTGCTCTCTATCACGCCGGTATGGCGTAACACGTGCGTCAATCAATTGGCGTCAATCAATTGGCTAGCGCGAGCTATCAAGTCACTTGCGTGCCATGTGCCGATGCGTGTGATGCCGAACGAAATTCCTCGAGATAACTCTATCCGGAGATGAGGAAATTGTTCGCACGAGCCGACACCCTTATCGCATTGTAATCCTACATAAAAATCACTAAAAATTAAAACGTATGAAAAGAAGAGCATAACAAATCATCGCACAAGATGTTGTTTGTGATATTTAATTATCACATTACATTAATAAAACATTAGACGTTTCGGCCACAATCTGGCCATCTTCAGTAAATTCACAATATTCTTAAAACGCAGAATTACATATTGTTACGTCCTACAGACGCCACGATTTTTTTCTTCGCCGCGACTATGGTTGGCGTCTACAAGACCCGAGCGGCCCCTTCTGATAATGAACTGACAGAATTGAAAAAAGGACCGGACAGGCGCCGCGAAAACTCGTAAATGTCAATCAACCTGGAAAGAATAATAACCTTAATGTAGGCCCGAAAAGAGACAAGATTAGACAAAGACATTATAAATGTACCGAAGTCACGCAATAATAAAAATCTAGGCTTTATCATCCGAGACTGACTAACAATTTTATCTTAGAAAACAGGCGCCATGTCGCACTTAAAAAACCGTAAACGCATAGAATAACTGACAACAGGAGCGTTATCTGAAACCAGACTCGCAACTGACAATGGTAGCATGGTAACCATCTGTTTATCTAGCCATATTTTCCACGAGAATAACAGAATTC